GATAGTTTATCTGTAAAAGAATAAAAAGAGACAAGAGGAAAAATTATTCTTAGCCGATGTGTTACGTCCCCTGCAGGACGTTATCAAGGCAAATGTAGGATTTATTTTGTTGCACATGTTTATATACAAGAGTAAGGATGTCATTGGTTTATCAAGGCTTTTAAATTTGAGAAAGTTTGTAAATGTTCATCAGGTCAGTCAAAACATTTGGAGGACACAAAGTGCCATAATTCAAGGTCTTCTTCTGTCTTAAATTTAAACTTAGCTAGCCACGATCACTGACCCAAACATACCACAATATTCCTTACACAAAAACAATGCATTCTTTCTTACCATTCTCACAACATCTACCATAATGCCTCATTGTCTCTATGAAAATCCTAACCAGTCCTCACATGTACAATTCATGTCTGTGAAGGGAGGGAGGGGAACAAAATAACAATAGTAAAGAGTGATATTTATTCTGTTTAATACAGAAATGTGGCACAAGGCCGAAAAGGGGATTGGGGAAAGGACGGTCTTCTTCTGTCTTAACTATAACTTAGCTAGCCGCAAACACTGACCCAATCGTATGAACAATATTCCTTACACCAAAACAACACATTCATATGTACCTTTCCTACTACAACCACCATAATACCTCTTTGTCTCTATGAAAATACTAACTAGTTCCCATATTTACAATTCATTGTCTGTGGTGGGTGGGGAATAAAACAAAAATTCTAAAAACTAGCTCCAATGAGTATTTACAATATGAATACAAAAAACTATTTACAAGAAACTAAAGAAAATAAGATTAGTAATAAAACCCTCCACAATCACTAAATGTGGCAGAAACATCACTTCACTGGCTGAAATCAATGCGGGACTATAATAGCATAAAACATTCATTCATCCCAAGTACTCACACTGACATGCACTCATTCAGACACAACAACAAATACAAAAAACCACTCATGTGAAACGAAAGGCGCCCCGCATCCACCAGCGAACCGACATCACTGACCACCTAACGGTGGGAGGGGATGGAGAATTAAACTTAAAGAAAAATAGGGACAGAAATAAAAGGGGCCAATGAGCATACATACCCTAGCTAAGTTAACTGAATAAGGAAACTAAAGCATCAAAAAAGGAAACCTAAGCTAGCCTAGTTTTGGGATGGGTTGCACAAGTTCAATAAAAATGGTAAAGAGCTTATCCAAACAGTTACCATGTATTTATAGAGAAGGCACAGAGAAGCAACTTTATGATGGTGGGAAAGTGACTGAAGCTGAGATGCTACATCAGGATCAAAAATATTGCTGATTTCTAGATAAATAGCAGGAGTACTGGGCCATATATGGCAGCAATATTCTAAGCATGGACAAATGGCAGGCTTATAGATATGTATATAGATTCTAGAGAAAAAAGTTGTCTAGCAAGACAGAGTGAACCAACTTTCTTAGCAGCTGACCTCGCAATGAATTCAATATATTCTTTCCACTTTAGGCCAGCTAAGAGTGTTAGCTCAAGAAGGTGTAACAAGTCACTTTCATGGAGGTTAGCATCAGCCATGCTGATGGACAGCAAAGACAGTTCTCCCAGATGATTAATGAACCATAAACTTTATTTTTAGTAGATACCTATATTTGAGGAGACACACAGTTTATTTATTAAACAGCATATTTATTTTTCTACCTGACTCAATATTTAAGAAATCTTAAAGAAAATGATGTGCCTTCCAGCAGAAATCAAATCTGCTTCTCTTTTGCAGGAAAAACTATTGTTAGATTCAATATGGTTTAGACCACGAAGAGTCTTGCCAATCAAGCACAGCTAAATAGAGCCTTATAAATGCAAATACTTTCTACATTCTCAAACATTCATATTTTTTCAGTTTATTATTTGAACATGAACAAAAAAATTTTTAAAGAAGTAATTGATTTTCATTTATTAATCCAATAGATTTTATCACTTTAAATGTTATTTTTAGTGGATACCCATATTTTGAGAAGACACTGTTTATTTATTAAATAGCATATTTATTTTCAGCTCCTGGCCTGAATATTTGAAAAATCTTATTAAAGAAAATGCTGTGCCTTCCTGCAGGAATCAAAACTACCTCCTGTCATTAGATCCGCTATGCTTTATATATATATAAGTTTTTATCCTACTTCTCATGGGATTTTTTGTAAATTCTTTTGTTTGCTGGATTCTAGACAAAAGTTCACAATGAAACTACAGATCAATAAAAAAACAAACTCTGAACAACTGAAGCATGATAGAAAATGGATGCAGTAATAATAAGAATCAATGATTCACTCAGTAAAACTCAATAACTGGTAGCTACGCTATAAAATTAGCAGCTCGCGCCATATCTACACAAGAGTTGTTCAGACTATTGAACTCATGCACTAGGTTACAAACATAACGTTTAGTCAGATCCACATATTTTTCAGGTGTACAACACAATAGAAAAATTAGTCCAGCCAACAAAATCTGACATCAGTTGAGATCATAGTCTTTGTGAATTCCATGATCTATTCTTAAGCTGTATAGTACATAGGGCGACATAGAGCTTTGAATTCAGAGCTGTCCTACTAGACTGGTTACCAACCAAGACTGAAGAGCACAGTCTGATTTACTATTTAACCCATAGCTGGAAGGAAAGATGGATTTATATATTTCCCAAAGGTATTTTTGCACTTAAGAAAATATAATGAACTGTACTGGAACTTGAACTCATCTCTCTAATTTCTCATTTGAAGCCACTATCCATTACACCACCCATACATCCAAACATTAGTCTAAACAGAAAAATAAATTAAAAAAAACAAACAAGTGTATGATAGACAACTCATTACCAACAATGCAAGCCACACTGGCAATTATATTCCCAGCAACAGATGTAAAACATGAAATTCATATTTTTTTCTTTTTTTTAAATTCAAATTCTTTCAGTGCCAAGCTAAGAAAAGCATATGACATTTTAATTCAAACTGGCCTGATTTATACTTACTTATTAATTTAATTTATACTACTTCCTTACTCCTCTCTCAGAAACAGTGTATTAGAATATAAACTTATATATAACATTTATATTAATAAAGAAATGTAGGATAAAAAAAGATCTATTCAAAAATTCCTGTTGTTTAAGTTTCTGGTTCAGATATAGAGTCATAGAAGTCCCTGTGGAATGTTGCTAGACGCATTCACCTAAAAATTTAATTCAAGTGCATTTACATGACAGTATTAATTTAAAACCAAGTATAGTAATATATTTAAAATGTGTATTCCAATGATATATGTTCAAAAAAAGTGTCTATATTCTCCAAAACATTATTAGCCTTAAACTTAAAAAAAATCTCTATAAATTGCCTCACCCATATGTCACCATTTCATATCAAGCATCAATTCTCTTTAGGTATTTCTTGATTCTTGCCCAATATGACTCTACATGATTAGTACAGGCCCCCATCTTTGGGTCAAGAAAATTCTGATTATGGTTGACAACTTAATGCTGAAACCCAAGCGCAGATAACCCATTATAAGCGGTCCATCCATCACTATGAATGATAGCACCAGGTGCAACACATTGTTGCGCAATTGGAAGTAAAGCTTCCGCACTTCTATCAGCAACATGCACCAGGTAGCCCTTTTTTAAAATCAATATCAAAGTCCAAAAATCCATTTTTGATGTACTACTCTTCCAACATTGTTTTTTCCTTTAAACCTCAGAGATTCATCGATCTCTACAGTAAAATCAATTCAACAACTTCTCTTACAGGAAGACGAGATGGGGGTGCATCTAACAACATTCTGCTGAAGTCCCAACAAGAAAAAGTGTGACTGCCTTTAATAGGTAATTCAAACTTTACTCTATCAATGCAGCCTCCATAGCTGAAGTGGTAAAGGCATGTTTCTGTTATTGAAATTTTTTTCCCTAATGGAATAAAGCATACAGATTCAATTTCAGTTGGGGGTATAAACTTTCTTTATTTTACGAAATAAACATTTCACAAAATTTCAACCTGTTGTACATTTGACTTCTTTCTATGTTGTTATGGTAAAAACATTTTATTGATGATATAGAAACCTTCATGGTAAATATCCATAACGTTGAAGAGGTATAGTGTCATGTGTGCAACAAAAGAAATAACATAAAGAGAAATAATGGGAACAAGAAGACAACCAACTGTTTTTTTTGTAAACAAAAAAAAAAAAAAAGGTTTTATTATAATTTTAGTGATTATAGTCAATAGCTAAAAAGTAAAAAAATGTAAAGGTTTACCAGCAAGAAGCTAGAAATACTTCAAAATAAATTCAGTTGGGAGTTGCTAGGTTTTTGTAGTATAGTTTACACGTCAGTTCAGCGAAGGTTAGTAAACAGACTACTCTGAAGTAGATTTGTACAACTGACTTTGCCAGACCAGTTGCTTAATTTTGGTGCCAACTAATGAATACCCAGATGAAAGACCGACTTTTTTGATGTCATCAATGACTTTACAGAGTTCTTTGAAGTCTTTGGTCTAAATGACCCAGAACTTGGAGAAGTTTAATTCATAAACATAGATTCTCTTAACATATAGGTAGACCAAACTGTTTTATTTATCATTGGTGGACACTACATTTTACTTTTATTTTACAACTACCTTTGAATGATTTTCTGACGTTGTATATTGAACATTCACAAAGAATTTGAGCATACTACTAGGTTGGCAATAAATCATCGTTTTACTGTTGAAATAGCTAGATGTAGACTTAAGAACTATTCTAAAAGTTCCTTTTCTCAAACTTCTTGTCCATTGAACTCTATTTGAGTTTCTTTCTTCATTTCCACCTACAATTTTCAAAGATTTACATACAACATACATTGCTATCTTCTGTCTTTCTGAAATCTGTTCTTTTATTTCCTTTCTCTTCACTAAAGTTTTCTCATTTTCTTTCACTGCAAACACATTGCATTCAAGTGGATTTACCACCTTGCTGAGGGTGAAATGATTAAAGAAAAAAAGTGATTGTCAAAAATCAGGATGAATGTAGTCAGGAATTAATGCAAGACTTACCAAGCGAATAAGGACATGAGTGGAGAGGAGAAGATAGAGGAGAAAATGAGCAGAAGGAAGGAGAGGGAAATGAGAAGAGGGGAGAAGACGGAGGGGGGAAATGAGCAGGGGAGAGAAGACGGAGGGGGAAATGAGCAAGGGGAGAGAAGACGGAGGGGGAAATGAGCAAGGGGAGAGAAGACGGAGGGGGAAATGAGCAGGGGGAGAGAAGACGGAGGGGGGAAATGAGCAGGGGAGAGAAGACGGAGGGGAAATGAGCAGGGGAGAGAAGACGGAGGGGGAAATGAGCAGGGGGGGAGAGAAGACGGAGGGGGGGAAATGAGCAAGGGGAGAGAAGGGAGGGGGGGAAATGAGCAAGGGGAGAGAAGACGGAGGGGGAAATGAGCAGGGGAGAGAAGGAGGGGGAAATGAGCAGGGGGAGAGAAGAAGACGGGGGGAAATGACAGGGGGAGAGAAGACGGAGGGGAAATGAGCAGGGGGAGAGAAGACGGAGGGGGAAATGAGCAGGGGAGAGAAGACGGAGGGGGGAAATGAGCAGGGGGGAGAAGACGGAGGGGGAAATGAGCAGGGGGGAGAAGACGGAGGGAGGAATGAGCAGGGGGAGAGAAGACGGAGGGGGGAAATGAGCAGGGGAGAGAAGACGGAGGGGGGAAATGAGCAGGGGAGAGAAGACGGAGGGGGGAAATGAGCAAGGGGAGAGAAGACGGAGGGGGGAAATGAGCAAGGGAGAGAAGACGGAGGGGGGAAATGAGCAGGGGAGAGAAGACGGAGGGGGGGAAATGAGCAGGGGAGAGAAGACGGAGGGAGGAAATGAGCAGGGGGAGAGAAGACGGAGGGGGGAAATGAGCAGGGGAGAGAAGACGGAGGGGGAAAAATGAGCAGGGGAGAGAAGACGGAGGGGAAAATGAGCAAGGGGAGAGAAGACGGAGGGGGAAATGATGGGAGAGAAGACGGAGGGGGGAAATGAGCAGGGGAGAGAAGACGGAGGGGGGAAATGAGAGGGGAGAGAAACGGAGGGGAGGAAATGAGCAGGGGGGAGAGAAGACGGAGGGGGGAAATGAGCAGGGGGGAGAGAAGACGGAGGGGGAAATGAGCAGGGGAGAGAAGATTGGTGTAGAGGTATAGGGGGAAACGAGCGGAGACTAGGTAGGGGGGGAACGAGGAGACTAGATGGGAGACTAGGTAGAGGGGGGGAAACGAGCGGAGACTAGGTAGAGGGGGGAAACGAGCGGAGACTAGGTAGAGGGGGAAATGAGTGGAAACTAGGTAAAGGGGGGAACAAGTGGATGGGAGGTAAAAGGGTGAAACAAGCAGATGGGAGGTAAAGGGGTGAAACAAGCAGATGGGAGGTAAAGGGGTGAAACAAGCAGATGGGAGGTAAAGGGGTGAAACAAGCAGATGGGAGGTAAAGGGGTGAAATGAGCAGAGGGGAAGCAGAGGAGGAAATGAGCAGGGGGAAAGCAGAGGGGGAAATGAGCAGGGGGAAAGCAGAGGGGAAACGAGCAGGGGAAAGCAGAGGGGAAACGAGCAGGGGGAAAGCAGAGGGGAAACAAAAGCAGGGGAAAGGGGGGAAAGGCAGGGGGAAAGCAGAGGGGAAAATGCGTTGGGAGAGAGGGAGGGCAGAGAAATCCTATGAAGAAATGTCTCTGTTAACAGGTGAAACACAGGCAAATGACTGATACACCTGTTTAATGCCACATAGTCTGCAAATATAGAGCACAATAGAAATTAGCTAAACACGACAAATAGAGCTTTGTTAGACAAAAGATTGTTTTTGATGAAGACTGAATGATATAACAGATTGCTGGCTGGGTAACAAAAGTGCGGGTGGGCGTAGAGGTCACATAGGATTAAATTATTCATTTACTTTACATAATCAGTCAAAGAAAATAAGAGCTTTAATCTCCTCCAGTACTGACTGCAGTGCAAGTTACATATGCATTAAAGAACATATTTTTTAAAAATCTAAGCAATGTGGCATGGGGTCTGTGTCATGAGGTGCTGGTCTAGCATTATCTGTTATCTATCCTACATATCCTCATCATTTGCACTTCTTACTTCCTCCCTTTATGCCCTTACAACAGCCTCATTCAGTAACCCTCTATCATGAGAGTCTCTCAGGCTTTGTATTGGGTGAACAATAGTTTAAAAATGAAAATATCGAACTAGACACATTTCAAGTTTGTCTGTAATTGAGTTGTATTTATTCAAGTGGCTATAGAGAATTTATCAAAAGGTTGCAATAAATCTCATACATGCTCTATAGGGTTAAAATCTGGTGAGCACACGGCCGAAAAGAGTAATTCGAACTAGTTTCATGTCACTTGTAGATGATGCATTATCTTTCTGGATCAGACATTCACTAACAGGAAAAGCATAAAGGGGCCAAATGGTTTGCACTAAGATCTGGGTTTGTTATTTTCAATTTCTCTCCTTGTGACATTTTGGGCTAATTTCTAAAATCATAAAATTAGCCCTTTCCATACAGCAAACATTTGGCATATACTGACTGAACAAAGCATGAATTCTACAATCAGTTGAAATTTTAAATTTTTTTTTTTTTTTTGAAAGAGTTTTTCAGGAAATTAGACTTCACTGTTATAGCTCTTTCTAGTATTGACAGTAGTTTGCTCCAATACCTTTAGGTTTTGGTAGTGTTGAAAATTAACATTTTCATTATATGATTATTTTTCCTTTCTAGCTACAAGTTTTTGTTGTTAGTGTTGTTGAAAGTGTTCAAGGGAAGTGGTTCTATTTGACAAAGCTCTTTGTTTGGGATGTTGTAAGGTCAGTCTATAGAATTTTTTGATAGATTGTTTTATTTAAGGATTTATTTGTTTGAAGACATTTTTAATCATTGCTCTGAGAAAATGGTTCTATACAGATGATACTTTAGATATTTTTGAATGAGATAGATACCATGTAAGAATCTGGGCTATTTGATATCCATATAAGTGGTTGATCTATTTAATGTTAAGGTAAGAGTCTGGGCTATTCGATAGCCATATAAGAGCTTGGGCTATTTGATATCCAGATTATATAAGACTATACAATAGTCTATGACATCCATATAAATATCTAAGTTACTTAAGAACAAATGGTCTGGCGCCCCTTCTATTTGCCTTGGGGTTCTTGATAGGCTTCAGAGGCGGATATGCAATATAATTGGCCCTGATCTGGCATCTCATCTACAGTCACTTTCTCACAGACGCGCCGTCACCTCTCTCTGTCTGTTTTACAAATACTTTCATTGCAATTGCTCCGAGGAGTTGCATTCACTGGTTCCCAGACGTCATGAGTTCCAGCGCCCAACGAGGCTGGCATCCCGCTCTCACCCCTTCACTGTCGAAACTCCTAAATGTAGCCGTCTCTTCTACTCCAATAGCTTCATGTCTCGCACCTCCTGCCTGCGGAACTCCCTTCCCTATTCCAATTTCCCTGAGAGCTATAATCTCCAGCTATTCAAATGTTATGTCAATCTGTAACCCCTTGCGTCCTAGTGGCTTCCCGCCTTGCTTGGGGTGAAACGCTTAAAAAAAAAACAACAACAACAACAACAACTATAGTTTTTAAGTCAATATTTTAATTTTGTAGCATCTTGAAATGTTGGATAATGTCTTGTATTCAATTTCCTTATCTCCTGTACTAAATTTGTTATAACTGACCCATACACCAAGGTAATTGAAGTGTTAAAAGCTAGGCTAATTTTGGCTTCTAATAAAAAATGAAACCCAATTTGCTAATTGTTAACTCAATATGGCAAGTTTGCTCCATGGTAAGGCACCCAGATATTTACAAAGCTAATCTTAGTATAAGCAGAAGACTAAATGTGTGGCACATGAAAAATCACTGCAGTAATACATGAATTTTTTCAATTTTTAATTTTTTTTTTAAAGCCCACTCATGTATAATCAGCTGCACTAAAATTTGACTAAATCCTAAGCAACTCCTCAGCTGACATCCGTCTGGTTTAAGCAACAGTAAGAGTGTGTGTGTGGGGAGAGGGAGACAAATAAAATAAATAACATAAAATTAAACAAAAGGAGTTATTAAATACATTATTTTATACTGTTTTCAAGAATTCTACTGGTTTAATTACACTGAAATTTCTTTGTTTTCTGATTATTAGATCAAAGCATAAAAAATTGAGGTAACCATTTAAGCAACTTGAGTACTAATTCATGCACAATGATTGAACAAACCAAGTACTAATCACAATCCTAAATGGCTTATAATTAAAAAAAAAGGAAAAAAAATAATTGTGTAATAGTCAATGAGCCTGTTAACCATTGTTTCAAAGTGAATTGCTTAGCTTTTGAAGATAGGGTCATATAAAAAAAATAAAAAATCTAACTCAACCCAAACAACAAGTAGGCTTGAAACTTTATCAATATTTTTGAAAATGTGAGTATTCTTGGCAACATCTTGCAGATGATTGCCTTAATAGTGGCAAAGAAAGAAGAATTGTAAGCAACAGTAGAACGTTGGCACAGAAATAAAATATCAGAAGGTGAGGAATGTCAACAACCCTGGCTTTTTTTTCAGTTGGATGTAAATAGATAAGAAAATAACAGAGAGTGACAGTAACAAATCTCTAGCCACAGGAACAATAAAGAAATAAAGGGGAATAAATTATATCATATATATATATATATATATATATATATATATATATATATAGGGAGAGAGAGAAGAGGGATAGCAAGAGGAGGGTTAGAGTAAAGATAAAAAGAGAGGAGAGATGAGGGAGAGAGATAAACAGAGAAGAGGGAGAGGGGAGAGAGAAGGGAAACTTAGTTGATACTGCAGTCAACTTTGCCTTTAAGATTAAAGATGTAAGATTTTGTTACATTCAGAAAGTTTATGGATGAGTGGTAAAAAATGAATTGTATAACCCAGCACAAAGTGCAAATATTTTTTATTTAAGACTAATATTTGTACTCTGTGGATACTGTAGATTTTATGTGTTAGGCTAATTGCTTAGAAGAAGGTCGTTTCGTTTGCTTTAAAGTCACTTTTCCAGCTTGTTGAGTTTCAAGTACTAAGTTTTGCACTTGAAGTGTAACCTTCAGTTTGTTAATTAATGCATTACATATGAAGTGGAGACAAACCTGAGTGAGGTGGAGGCCTGAGCACCAAATTGCATGGCCGAGGGTGGGGGGCTGCAACTTGCATGGCCGAGGGGGGAGGCAGGTTCCTACTATCCTGAGTGAAGGAGGGGTAGATCAGGTTCCTATTATCCTGACCAATTGAGGGGGAGGCCGACCTGGACCTGTCTGGAGCGAGGGGGAGGCCGACCTGGACCTGTCTGGAGTGAGGGGGAGGCCGACCTGGACCTGTCTGGAGCGAGGGGGAGGCCGACCTGGACCTGTCTGGAGGGAGGGGGAAGCCGACCTGGACCTGTCTGGAGGGAGGGGGAAGCCGACCTGGACCTGTCTGAGCAAGGGGGAAGCCGACCTGGACCTGTCTGAGCGAGAGGGAGGCTAAACTGGACCTGTCTGAGTGAGGGGGAGGCCGAACTGGACCTGCCTTGGTTACAATGACTTGTAACCTCAATGAATTGCAAACTGTTACAGAATGTGAAAGCCAGGGATAAAATAGGAATTGGCTGGAGTGCCTCATGTGTGTGATATTCTGATGGATTGCCTTTTTTTTTTTTTTTTTGGACATCAACAGCTTCTGAACAGTTCCATCTACATGATTTCACTCATAAAGCTTTGGTTAGTCTGTAGTATGGTTTTTTAGGCACTTTTCAAAAGATGCTGCTTGATAGGATCATCTCCTTGGGCTGATATTAAGTCACCTCCCAAATAGACCCTGATGAGATTTGATCCTCGGTCGCATGGTCAGAATGTGAATGTTCTAATCACTAGACCATACACACATTGAATGTAAAATGATTTAACAAATATAAACAAAATATTTCATTTAATTCTAAATGTCACCATGTGAGTTCATAAAACATTTACAAAATTAGCACATATGGCATCAGTGTTTTGTTATAGTGTGGGAGGAGATTGTAATGAATTTTTCTTGGTGCAAACTAGTCACAACTTGCTTCTTGTGGATGCATTTATGTTCAACTCATCTTGTAACAAGAAACATTTGATTACATGCACTGTAACCATGCTTGATGGGTAATGCAGACCCCCATTAAAATTATTTATTAAATATATTTTTGATCAGTGTAATGTACAAATTATGTATACATATATGAGTTTATAATATATGTGGAAAGTGAAATCAGTCATCTGAGTTAAAATGCTTTCATAGTCTGTTGCAAGCACTTTTATACAAATGCTCGAGAAAGACATGAATCGATTTTCTCTCCCCAGCCATGGATTAAATAGGTTTAACTTGGCTCTCTAACCTTGAGTGTCTGCCAGTTTCATAAAAGGAAAACTCTGAATTCAAAACCATGGAAACAGCAACAGGAAAGCACACTTGTCTTTTCCAGGAAGTCACAGTAATTCACAGATAAGAAATTGAATCTGTGGAGAGCCATATAATAAACATCGCTTATCATCATCATAAACTTTTTTGACTTATGTACATGCAGACTACTGTCCTCATTTTTGTTGTTGTTATCAGAATGTTTTGGGCTGTTGTGCTCCCCTGGCCTAGGTGTATGTTGATATGGGTAACCTGCAAGGAATTTGAAACTAAACCTTTTACTTAATCTACAGGAGTAGACTGTTCTCATTCCACTGCCACTGTGTCTAGAGGTATCTTGTATTGTTCTTATTTTTAGTACTGTTCAGTTATTGCTCACCCTGTTTCTAGTGAGTCCAAGTACATACTGCCCAACCTAGGGATTAAACTCACAATTACTATATTACTAAATTCACAAACCAATGCTTTAAACAACTAGGCTGTTGTCCAAAATGGAAAGCCATGATTGCTTACATCCTCAAGGGATATGGTATTTAACAAAAAGTTAAATAAAAATATACCATGTCTGTTGTTCCAATCTGGATTTATGCTGGATTGGAGCAACAGGGTAGTGATTTAAAGGGTTGGTGAGGGAATTTGGTGAGAGTATCTTAAAGTGTGTATAAAATTTTAAATATCTTTATAAAAAAAACAAAAAAACAAGACAATATTTGATGCAATCTTTCTGGTGCAGTTTTGCTGTCTAATCATTACAAATGATGTTACTTTGGACAGATTCAAATTTTTAACTCTTTAAAAAATCCAAGCTGTAGCCAGCAAAATCTTGTCCACACACTGATATGATTCATGATAAAGACTGAAATGGCTGAAAGTACTTGAACAAAAATAACAAAATATGAAGTTTGGACAGTTTATCCACAAGTCTGATCCCAAAACACAATATCTTATTACAAATTTGGAAAAATGCAATAAAAAATAAACAGACAGACATTGTCATTTGGACAGACTCATGTATAAAAGTGTTGACCTCAATGTCTACTTCTATAGTTATATAGACTATCCCTGATAGCAAGTACAGTAACCCATAAATATATACCTTAAAACTATATTTTAATATATATATATATATATATATATACATGTGTGTTAAAGCTGAGTTTGAATTCCACTTGAATGCATTACGTTCAATTATGTGCTAATACCCTTAGGAAAGGTATGAATCCTCTTCCTTGTCCTCAAACTATGGGTAAATAACAGGACTGGGTTCTATAGCCTTGAATGGCAATTGGTCTAGGAGAAGGACAACTCTGAATTCAATACCTGTGGGGGCTGTTTGGGGACCTTGTGGTACGTAATGCACCAGGTCTCTGTATATGGCCCTTCAAAAAGTGTGGTTGGTTCTGCACAAAGCCTTCACCACTATAATCAAAGCATGTGCTAGTGCTGTCGGTTCCTAGGAACTGAGCTGCTTGGCCCTCATCAGGTATGTCTAAATATATAGGAAGAGCACTAGACTTATAAATGTGTAACATCAATTCTGGAGAAAAGAAATTATCTAGCATGACACAGTGAACCAACTTTCCTAGTAGCTGACCTACCAATTGATTAAATATAATCTTTCCTTCTCATGCTAGTGGAAAACAGCCCAAGAAAGCATGTCACTCTCCTGGTGGTTAGCATCAGACTTGATAAAAGGCAGAAAAGAGTCTCTCAGTTGATTGATAGAGAGCAGTTTTGTTTTTGAGGTGTTAAAATTAGCAAGCTATTCCTTGCCCCAGTTAACAGCTGATTGTAGGGCATTTTTGAAATCAGTGGCCAATTTGACCTTATTGAATGGATCAGACTTACTATCAAGACAGCAGTAAATGGTTGTATCATCAGTATTGATATGAAGTTGAGAACTGATGCCATCAGGAAGGTCTTTGATGAAAATTAGGAACAGCATAGGTCTAAGAATAGAGCCCCTGTGGGACATCTGCATTACTGCAGTAAGATATAGAAGTGTGGGCGATCAGGACAAATTTCATTTCATGAGATTATATATATATATATATATATATATATATATATATATATATATAATAAATAACTAAAAGGTGGTTGGCTGTCAACACTAACAAACTTCCAGCAACTCCTGCAGCCAAATATAATTCCTTTAAAAATTTTTGATATGGGCAGATGGAGAGACATGTTGTCTATACGGCACATGATTTCTATATACCATTGCCCAGGTCTGTACCCTGGAGAGGTTACTACAGTCTCACCCCCTAAATGACTGAATTTTGATCAAACAGGCCACTGCCTTTATCTCGAGATAAATGAATACCTACTAATAATAAATATACATTTTGCTTAGTCAGTCATAATCTGAAAGAGACATGATTGCCCAAGTGTGTATCATGTATGGCACTTAAATGACTGACTCTTGTTATCATGGTTTAATAGCAGGTCAGACTTGGTCCTATAGCCTTAGTGAACAACCAGTCTACTGCAGAAAGAAATGGCAACCTACTGCAGGAAAATCATTTGATTAATCAGTCATGAATTGAAAGAGACATGTATCACATGGCATTTTATTGATGGTTGAATATCAGGACAGACTGGGTCCTATAGCCTTGGTTAGCAGCTGCTCTACCACAGAAAGAAATAGTAAAAAACTGTGGGAAAATCTTTTGCTTAGTCAGTCATGAATTGAAAGAGACATGATCACTCAAGTGTGTATTGTGTATGGACTTTAACTGTCTGATCCATGTACCAATTTACTTTTTTATTTATTTATTTATTTTTTTTTATTTTGATCTAGTTCTTGGATCAGGGAAGTCATTCAAAAGTAACTTACATGATGTCTGAGAGGTGGATCCTTTATTTTTTATTTTTTTACAAAAATATGGAGGGTACTTTCATCCAAGTAATTTTCTGGGTATCTCATAAAAAAATAGAAGTTATTGTATGCTATTCATGTAAATATTTTTAAACAAGATATAATTTTATGTGTTCTACTTACTATCTTATAAAATTTTGAGTCAAAAGTCAAGTTTGGTTCAGAAATCAGGATCTTATTTGATTGGGGATCCATCATCAACTGGGTGGGTAGGTCTCTGCAACTTTTCAGATTTTCAATCTTAACAGAAATTAAAAATGAAAATAATCTAGGTTGTGCCTTATTTTGTTTCACTATTCTTCTCCTATGTGCTGTGTCCCTTAAAGATATAGGGCAATCATGGCTCTCTACAATTTCCTGTCCTTTGCAGCTCTTAATAAATTTTGTCTTTTTGTTATCACACCTAAACCTTGTCCCACCATCCATTTATAAAAGCTCATTTTTCTTCTATGTGCTGTGACCGTTCAGGACATTGACGATCATGGCTTTCCACAATTTCTTGCCCTTCACAGCGCTTAATAAATTTTGTCATTTCTTGTAAACCTTGCTTTGCTATCCTTTTACTGAAGCTCGCTAAGTAGGTTTTGCATTTATTCCTTTATGTTGCTCTTGCATTCATTCTGTCCTGTGAGTATCAATTTTTCCAAGCCCTCTTTCTTCATATGCAGTAGAAAATTTCAACTGTCTCTGCCTGATGTTAAGTCTAAGTATCTTTTTTGTTTCCATTGTCTTTAGAACTTCATCGTTGCTCACATGTTCAGTCCATGGTATTCTCAGCATCCTCTTGTAGAGTCATTTACAGATATTTTTTTTTTAATTTTTATGATAGGACATCACAGTGCTTTGCTGTTGGACACTTTATTTTAAAATTTTGATACAATTCAATGATTAAATTTTACCAATATTGGTAATATGATACTTTTTGTGTCCTTTTTTTTGTTTCTGATTTTCCCTAAAACTGTTGTTGCTCATATGTTTGAGGGGGTGAAATGTCATTATTCCCTGGCAAGAGGTAGCTTAATCTAAATAATTTTCCATGTGTTGTGTTACGTGTTGATAATTGTAACAAAGGAAAAAAAATGATTTACCACAACACAGAGCTAAATCACAAACATTTAATTTACTAAAACAGAACATAAAATATATACAGGATAAACAATTGTGGCCTACAAAACAGAAAACACAGAGTTACTGGCGAAGTGTTACGAGGGAGTGAAACATCTTTATCACTTTGGGGCTAGTGAAGTAATCTAAGTGCTATATTTGGAAATCCACAAAGGTGTGTAAATAAATATTAATTTTAAGTTTGGTCAATGAAAATTAGTCAAAATTCTATTTACCAAATTTGTTCCATGAAGTTCTCTTTTAGGTTTTTGTTGGTCGGCAACTTTTTATAGAGATTCTTTCGGCTGGATATAATAGTCCTCGAATCAAAAGCTGGAGTTGATAACAGCAGAAATTCCCATTCATCAACTGACAACCCTTTTCCAAAATCCCATTTTTATAGGGGCTAACACCTAATTTGCATATTTCTAGATGTTTCTCGAATATACTAGAATGATCTAGAATCTTCCAAACATTCTATTTCTAATTTCTCTATTTTACAACTATTTCATGAATGAAAACTTTTTTGTAATAACAAGTAGAACTCGGTGGAATCCCTTCTTATAGAAATGCATCCTCA